TTAAGGTACAAAGTTAGGTCATTCACACTTATATTTTTTGTTGAAGTAAGTTGTGCTCTAGTTTAGAAATAAAAATTATTTGTTTTAGATTTGTATTCCTATATACTATCAAAAGATGTGCTGGGCTGCAGTTTATTATTGATATTTCCTTTTTTTCTTCTAAGATTCAGAATATCACGTTTATGCTACCTAAAAGGATAAAATGTATCCAAATGGGGGCTATGTCATCCATTACCACCAAGATCCAGGCTGGATAAACAGACAGGCAGTGAGTGCTTCAAAGGTAAACCTGACTACAGCCTACAAAATTAGCTTGAACTAAAGAGCTTACATTGAAATTTATATATTAATTCTATCACTTCGCACAGTTGCCATTACATTATTCACTGACTGATAAGGAAGACTTTCAATATCTTATCGACTGGGAGAGCCATTCCAGTACAAAGAGCTAAAGAGTAGTCCTGGTTGTACCAATCACACTAAATAGCCCTTATTTTCCTCTAAATTGTCCTTTTAAGACCACTGATATTTTCCACCCTGAAATATGCCTCCTGGAACCAAGTGATAATCAGTTACTATTTAGAAGTAAAAATAACCCAAAAAAGGAGATTTCCATACAGCACAATCTAAAAAGGGAAAATCATGATGAAGAGCTTTCCACAGTAATGTTGCTAAATTTAAACCATGTTGTTCCCTGAATATTTACCCATCAGGCACCATCACCACTACCTTCATCATACCATTTACTGGTTATGTAAGAGCAAAATAGTTGTCCTACATCATTAAAACATAAATGAACAAACATAAACAAACTTAAACTCTCCATCATATCATGCCATTCTCTTCACTGAGAAAAAAAAAATCCAAATTCTCCAACCACACTCACAAGAACTCCAGATCTGGGTTCTTTTGGCCAGTTCCTCCTTACACCTTACAGCTAACAGCTCACAAGCCACTTCCTCAGATTTTCCCCTGCCTATCCAACTTCAACTCTGCACCACCTTTTCTCACAGCACCTTATTCTTTTCCATCACTGTGTTTTTTCACAATGTGCAGTTAAACATGTATTCACATGACTATTTACTGTTTATAGACAATTAGCTCCATGCAGGCATGTTTTCTTAACTGTAGCATATCTAATAGCTAGCATGATGCCTGGCCATAGAAAGAGCTAGCTAGACAAATATTTGGTGAGTAAGTGAACAAATGAATAAATTGCTAAATACCCTATGGCAGTGGTCGGCAAACTGCGGCTCGAAGCCACACGTGGTCTTTGGTCCCTTGAGTATGGCTCTTCCACAAAATACCATAGCCTGGGCGAGTCTATTTTGAAGTGGCATTATAAAAAGTTTAAAATATTTGGCTCTCAAAAGAAATTTCAATCGTTGTACTGTTGATATTTGGCTCTGTTGACTAATGAGTTTGCCGCCACTGCCCTATGTATGTGTAATAGAAATGTCAAAAGTAAAACAGGACTTAAAGATTCTGTCTTTTAAAACACAATATGTAATAGGAGAATATCTTTGAGCAAATATATATACAACTAAAGATTAAACAAAAAGATTACACAACAGTAGCACACACTTACCATCTTCCTCTGACTTAGCTAGGACACTCACATGCATGGAAAACTAAGAGGTCCCCTTTCCCAACTGCCACTACAAGCAGCAAAGGGGTACTCCCTGTTTTGCCCCAGACTGTGGGACAGAGGAAATGATTATGGCAGAAGGAGGAAAAAACATAGTCACAGGCCAACGGTTAAAATTCTAGTAATGGTAACCAAATCTTTCTATCTATAATAGCTCTCACTTTTGTAATTCCAATCAAAGATGACCCTTTCATTACCAATACTGCATATCAGAATTTTCAGAACTGACAAACCACTCTTGATAAGGTCACTCTGATGGGAAATGGGTGAACAAGAAAAATACAAGAAAGACAATCCAGCAGAGATTGGGAAGGGCCCAGAGCCACGGACTCACAAAGAGCTGATGCCTATAGGTACAGAGAAAGGGAATCTGGGGTGAAGTCAACAACATAAATGAAAAAGCCACGTGAACTAACAACTGAGGCAATTAAGGACAAGCAAAGGGGCCAGATGTCTTGATGGAATAAGAAGTGTAAAAACATGTGGAATGAACTGGAGATTATGGTCATTTTCAAGGATCAATGGGAAAAGTCGAATGAAAGGGGCAGTCACTGTCAAAGCACTTTATGAACCTTGGATGCCAACGTACGTCTAAATGGGGATTGGGAAGAAAAAGAGATTGGCCTGCCCAGGCACTGAATCACTGAAATAAGCAGGAGAGTAGGTCAGGGATGTCAGGAGTGGGGTTAGGGCAGCTAAAGTTAATAATGTAGAGTTAAAAAGAAAAGATTGAACTGGAAACAGAATAAAATTATTTCTAAATCCACGAATGGGAAAAGATACACACACACACACACACACACACACACACACACACACGACTGAAAAGAATATATTGATAAAAATTCAGTTAAAGTGAGGCAGTAGGAAGAGCATCTGAAGAAAAAATTAAATAGATAAGAGACTGTGTCAAGGGGGCCAACAGAGAAGGTGACAGCTGAAGTGACAGGGCAAAACTGCTCAGAAATAGGAATCTAAGAGGGAACTGTGGGGAGGGATATATTAGGTTTGAGGCCCTCAATCTATAGGCATCAAGTTGAATAAGATGCATGAGGGAAATGCAACACGGGGTGTTTAATGGGTTCACAATAAATATCTCTGGTCTACTCATCTCCCTTGGTCATGGTTAACTGCCCTAGACTGCACCTATCAGATTCTCTTCCTTGAAAATTTAAAACCTTTAAAAGAGATAGAAGGTAGTTGGAGCCAAGTCACTTTATAACACCCTTGAAAGAATATCCATGTTTACTCCTGTTGATACTCTAATTTGAGAAAAGCCTAGTCAACTTTTCCCCAAATTATTAAAGGATAATTTTCCCAAACTATCCTTTAATAATTTCTCCATTTTTACTTTTTTCTTTTTAAGCTAGAATCATTGGTGTTTCCTATCACCAAAGTACCTTATCTGATTCAACGTGGATTCTGCCTAGAGCCAACTCTCATTTTCTAAATGAGGAAACTGAGGTCCTGAGAATATATTTTTCCCAGGTTACAAAATGTGAAAGGGTTAAGACCAAAACCCAATTTGCCTTTACTACTAATAATGTGGGTGATACTTTTAAACACAGATTTAGAAAAGATAACTACCAAAAGATTTATAATCTACAAGACTTCAGGTAAAATGTAGGTAAAGATATGAAACATAACAGCTAAACTGAGCAGATGGAGATGAGTACTAAGTAAGAAGTGCCAATGATCTACCAATAGAACCTAATTTTCATATTCTATCATAATAGGAAGCCTGAACAAAGATTTCTATAAAAATTTAAGAAAAATATCTGAAACCATTTTATTAATATAAAACCTGAGATTTAAAAAGGTAAATATAATAATAATAAAAAAAAAAGGTACAGAGTCAGAGGAAGGAAAGATTAATGTCAACACAGAGAAAAAAATTATAATGACCACGTCTATAATACAGAATATTTTTGGCACTTATCCCATGCTTTAAAACATCTGTCTTGGTGTCCTGCACCAAATATTTTTGGATTATAAAATGCTTCTCATATTTCCTTGTTTGTTTGATTTTTTTAATTCTGTTGCTATTTCACCTCCTCCATTTCTCAGAATCTCTGTAAGCTGATTTCCTTTGTTTTTCCTACAAAGTGTCCTTCCCTTCCCAAAATTTTTACTTTATTCCCCCTTCCCTAGCAAAAAATCTTGCCATTAAATATTCATCTTTCCTTTCCTGTTTCCTTGGTGCTTGATACTTCTTGTCTAAACATCACTCATTAATATAAGACTATATTAATTGGTACATTATAGCAAACTCTTCCAAGGAACTACTTCAGAAACAATCACAGGAGCTTTTTAAATAAAAACATTAACAAAAGTGATCTGTTTCTAAGACTGAGTATAAATGCCACATGTTTTTCTATGAAACCATTCATTCCTCTCTGAACACTAAAAATGAGAATCAAGTCTCTTATTTGTTCCAGATGGTCCAAACCCACGATGATAAATGTGTACAACCAGCGACCCATATGAAATACTTCAGGTAAATATAATTGTTTTCTAGAAAAGGAAACTATATTATACATTAAAATTTTTATTTAATTAAAAGGAAAAAAGTCATAAACCTAACAGGTAGAATATGTCAACCAAAATGGAAACTGAGATTTTGTCCCACTTGTATATCAGAGAACATATAAAATAATCCTAAAAATTAACACTTTATTAACTTGAAATTTATAAGAAAACATATGTGTATAGACTTCTTTCAGCATTTAGCTCTGTGTACTTCCAATCTTTCTAAAAAATTACACAAATTCAATTTCACATACACATAGATTACATGAAAATACCCACTACTCTATAGAAGGAAAAAAACAAATCTTGATGTTGTTTGTACCAAGATTTAACAAAAAAACACTCTTTAGAATAAAGAATATCTTTTAACTTTCAACCACAACTACTCTAAATTGACATATGCTAGCTTCACTATAACCTAAAGCAGAAATCTTTAGGTTATAGTGAAAATCTTGCCCCTAAATATTCATCTTTCCTTTCCCATTTCCTTGGTGCTTGATACTTCTTGGGCAGGAGGGCTTTTCTCAACCCACACCCAGAGGACATGTGTCAAGTCTGGAGACATTTCGGTTGTCACAACATTGGTGGCAGTTGGTGGTGGCTTGGGACTGATGTGCTACGAACATCTAGTGGATCAAGGGATGCTGCTAAATATCATACAATGCACAGGACAGCCCTTCACAACCAAAAATTATCCAGTCTCAAATGGTTGAGAAACACTGTCCTACAGAGAAATAAAATGGAAAGGATAAGGAACAACAAGGAATCACCATGAGGCACTGTCTGCTGAGCTCTTCCTGGCTGTGCAGGAGCCACTACTTACCTTGGATGCCTGTGGTGTGGATATCACGTGGACCGTGCTGGGTTTGACTCCATTAGCTTTGGCTCGCTTATAGAGAGCAAATCTACTTTTCCTCCGGCCTCTGTCTCCACTAGGTAAAGCACCATTGTACCTGTAAACGAAGATGAAAGAGTTAATTTATTCAAAAATTATTTTTAAAGTTTTAAGAAGAAAAGTTAGATGGAATCCAAGGGAAAAGACAAGAATGGTCATGAAGAACTGCCCATTAAACACCCCACGAAAGGAAAGGGCTGCAAAACAGACATCAGCTGTAATGAAATTCAAATCACTTCCAGAAACTTAATTTAGGAGTGATGTACAATGTAATTATAGGTTTTCTATTCTATAAAGTCAGACTCTTCAAATCTTTTTGGAAAGAGACAGAGTATAAATAAGAAAAGAAAAGCCTACAGAGACAATATTAGTGCTGGCTCAATTCAGCCAGCATCGTTGAATGGACCCCAGAGAAACACTCAAGAAATATTTCTAAATGAACTAGTTAGAAAATAGCATACTAATTAAACCTCACCTCTCACTCCCAAAACATGTTAATGTCTGTAAGATCTTTATTTGTAAGACCAAATTTAGTTACTTGCATTCTTATATGTTCTAAATTCTCTACCCTCATTCCCATTTCTATTTGAACCTTATGCTGTCAAGTTAGCCAAGAAATAGCTTGCAAAAATTAAACATAAAATATGACTCTACCAGAAGATGGGCCATAAAGTAATCCAAAGTAAAAAAAAAAAAAAAAAAAAAAAAAGATTGTGTTTTAGTCCACAAACTATCCAGTAACTTTAAAAGTCACTGGGAAAATATCTGATATCTTTAAACAGATTTCCTATATTAACTAGAGGCCTGGTACACTGAGGGGTTGAGGAGGTTTCCTTCAGCCCATCCTGCACTCTCTCACAGTCCGGGAGGTCCTACTGATGGCCTAGGCCCGCTTCTGCAGGAGGTGACCAGGAGGCCAATCAAGGGATGATGTCAGCTGGTGTGGCCCTGCCCCATCCCCCTTCACCCCACCCCCACCACTGCTGGTTGCTGCTACCCACGCTCCCATCCTCATCCCCTCTCTCTACCCATTGGCACACACCTTGGCTGGCCTGGTGTGGCCTGCTCACCAGCCTCACCCCTGCTGATTGGTTGTTCAGCAGTTCAGTTGATTTGCATATTATGCTTTTATTATATAGGATACCTTAAGATAATACCAGTGTTTACTCTTCCTCTCCCTTCCTCTCTGAAATCAATAAAAATATATTTTTTAAAAAGACAACAACCAACACAATAACTGTCCAGTGTGAGTAAATAAAAATACATACATACATACATACATACATACAAGTGTGAGTAAATAAAAATACATACATACATACATACATAAATATAAATGCAGGATTGGAGGCAGCTTTCTGTTTTCAACTATATTCTCTAACTCTAAATTAACTGCCCCTCATGTGTTCCAATCACTGTCTCAAGTTGCCACACTGACATGATGATTCTCTACCTCTCTCTTGGAAATTCTTTTCAAGAGAATCCAAAGAAGGTCATATTTACATGAATAAGTATGACAGCTCCAAGGTTCCTTCCAAACCACAAAGGCAGGGACAGCACATCTGGTGGCCTGCCTCTGTCTTAACTCTTTTGCCTTTGCCTTTGTCCACTCACACCCAGAAGAAGGGTATGGTGGCCAGTATGGCAGAGGGGGGACATAAGGTCCACTGAGAACAGTAAAAGTTGAAATCAGGTGGTTTTGTATGTATGTTTTACAATTGGGTAGCTAAAGTATGACAATAGATGTTGACTTTCACCAGAAGTTATTCCTGCTGTATTTTAATATTACCATTTCCATCACAAAAGAAAGTCAGCTATATAAAAGTCTCTAGAATACAGAGATAATTTATTTCAAGTCTGTTCATATGCTTTTTCTGATGCAAGATCAGAATAGCATACATTATTTTTAAAACATATGTGTGATTAGTAGAATGAACATATCCATGAGTAAACAACCATTAAAAACCCACTTTAATATTTTTTCATATCACTTAAATCAAGATGAACATTCTGTATTAAGAGGAAAGTATGAATCAATTACAGCCAGGACTCTAAATAAAGCAGAAGAAATTTTCACCACTGTAGCCTAGAGGTACCAGATCTGGTCAGATTTCACACACACACACACACACACACACACACACACACACACACACCTCTACCAGAAGATTGCCCATAAAGTGATCAAAAGTAAAAAAAGATGAGTTTTAATCCTCAAACTGTCCAATAACTTTAAATGTCACCAGGAAAATATCTGATGTCCTTAAGCATATTTCCTATATTAACTAGACCTTGGCTCTCTGATGCATCTTCCTCTCAACTATCCTCTGGTCAAAAGAATCTAACCTAGTAAGAGTATGGCACACACATTTTAGGGATCTACTCGCAACAACACTATCCCTTCACTGCCCAAGGTGAGCCCTAACACCTGTGAATGAAATGGACGGGTCAGCACTCGCCGCCCTGTCTTGGCTAGAAGTCGACATCTGGCCCAAGCTGGCCAATGACATCCTTACCCTGGAAAAACAAAAATGAGGCAGACAACCCGCCCTCTGTGTGGATGGCTAGAGCTATAAAATGTAAGCAGGGGTCTGTGGGGATGTCACAATCTTTATGTCCACGAAGAAGCGAGGAAGTGAAGGATGAAGCAGGTGAACAGACAAGTAGCAAATAGAGATGAAAAGAGAGGATCCTCAAAGGCTTCCATTGGCCCAGATACACTCTAACCCTTGTTCATGAAATTCTTTTTAGTTCCAGCTAACTCAAGTGGATTCTGCTACTTACAAGTCGTACCTATTATAAAGGGAAAAAACAAAAACCAGAAATGTCAACCTTATGCAGAGATATTTTAACCAATGCAGATTATATTGCAGGTTAAGTGATATGCCCGTCTACTTATACTGACTACTTAATACAATTAGATCAGTGAAAAATCCTATTGGAAGTAACTAAGATAGCAGTGAAAAAAACGAGTTAATAGGTTAAGCGACATGGTCATTCATTAATATTTATAATGCCAAGTACTAGGACTACAGCAATGAACACTGAATTATACTTGTTGAATCTTCAACCCACTACTGCTTGATCTTTGCCTCCAAATCTGAAAGAGCATCTGGTCATGTGTCATGCACCTACTATTCCATCTGACTGTCTCCCTGAAGTCCACCAATGGCTCTCTCATCAAGGAATACAGTGTGGTAAATCAAAGATAAGCAAATTCCCATTACTTATCCCACTGAGAAATGAGTCTAAGCCCCCTCCTTAAACCAGGGCTGGCCATAATGACTTGTTTTCAACCAGGATGGGGAGGAAGTAAAGGTCGGAGACTTCCAAAACCAGATCTGGAAAAACTTGCAGTTTCTGCCTGCGTCTCCTGGGAGCTATGAGCTGCCATGGAAGAAACCTGGGACCACCATGCTGAGAAGGGCATCACGGGCATTCCAGTTGGAAGCCCCAGCTGCACCCAGGCACCCAACCACCCTAAGGTACCAGTTGTGCACATGAAGCCATCTTGGACCCACTAGACTAGCCATTCCATCAGCTGACTTCCACCAAGTGACATCAGTTGACACCATGTGGGACAGAAGCATTGCCCAGCTGAATATTGTCCAAATTCCTTACCCAGAGAATCAATAAATAAAATAGTTGTTGTTTCAAGCCACTCAGGTTGGTGTAGCTGGTTACACAGTAATAGATGCCTGGAACAAGCCCAACCCTTCAGCACAGTATCCCTTTCCCCGCTTCAGTCTCTCCTTCATCCCCTGACCTAATTCAAGTGAAGCACTGTCTCCCCCTGAACACTATCACAGAGTCTTCCCTCCCCCTTCCTGCCTTCCCACTGTTGCTGCTGCTTCCGGCTGCCTGCCCTCAGCCCTCACAGCCACTGCGGCTTCGTCCAGGAAGGGCGTTCTGCTGTCCTGTCTAATTAGCATATTATGCTTTTATTATTATACATTATTATAGGTCATTGGACTGCATGCTCGCTGAGAAGTTTTCTATTTCTCTGCATTCCCCCTTCACTCTGCATGGTACCTTAAAACTGAGGAAAAGCTCAATAAAACAGTCACCATATTTGTATGGAAATAATGATAGTGGTATAAGGATCAAGACAGGAATTCTAGCTCCAATGCTTTTCCTAGCTAGTGCTGCAAGCTTACCTTAAGTGGGCCTCAGTTTCCTCAGCTACAAAGATAAACACAAACTTACAAATTCAGTTTTAAAGAGAGATTCCAAAACCTCTTGTAAACATTTCCATTCAAAATGGACACAGAAGGCATTTCATCCAACTAATTATCTGCATCCAGTGCAAGAAAGGTGAAGGCTGCGATTGTTATTTTAACTACTGGCTACAGTTCCAAAGGACTCTCACATCCTTGTGGCAGTTGATAGGTGACCAGTATACCTCCAGATTGTCTTGCTCTTATCTCATGGTTTTCTAGTTTCCCCATACAAAATATTTCCCAAGGTGAAATATAAAAAACTTGTTTTATATCAGGAACATAGTACTACCCCTATGCTCAAAAGATTTTAAGCTGTTCTTCCAGGATTTATACCCCTCATCCCCACCCACACTCATCCAGCCCCCTGCTGCACAAGGTAAAGTGTGAAGGCAAGAGGGAGACCGTATCCTGGCTCTGCATCTAATCTCATGTGTGACTTTGCACAGGTCCCTCTTTGCACAGGTCCCTCAGAACCTCTTTCCTTCCCCATAGAGTCAGAAGGCATAACATTCTACCGTTTGGATTCAGGAGCAGTGTGTTGTTAGAGATGAGGGCAAAGCAATCTAGCTCAGGAGAGACCTGGAGGCTGATCCCAGTCTCAACAGCACCACAGCTGCCCTGACCCCTGGGCAATCACTGGTCTTTCTTATTCAGAATCTATGGACTCAGGAGGGTCACATTTCCCTACCTGCTTCTTCTTCCCGAAGGCCAACAAAGGAACATGCTCTCTACTCTACCTAAAAAAAAATAAATTGTTTATGAAAAGAATATTATCCAATAGTTAGCCATTTGCTCCTTTGAAGTTTTCTCCATTTCAAATTGGTACTATCACCAAATC